ACAACACCCCCCCCCCCCCATGTATATGGTTAATGCTGTGCTGATTAAACTAGCTGCAGAGTAACAGGCCAATGGAGTACGGTGTACTAAGTTCTGAAATACAAAAATGTGTACTTTGAGCACAGAAAAATAATAACCATCCCTTTGGTTTCTATAAACTAATGTTAAAAATATACCAAGGAGTGGTCAACACCACCAGACCACTTGATTGGCAGTCTGAAACACTATCTCAGCGGCGGCTAACCAATCAGACGTTTGCTGACTTTGAGTGCAGTTACACCTGTTCAGCTATATCCACCATGACAAAACAAAAACAAATCTATACACTTCCACTTTAGTCTCCGTGAATAGATAAACCACTTCAGATGTGTCAAGACAACTAAAATATTTTCCATCAGCATCTACAGCCAAAAATAAAATACACAATAAAACGAAATCTTTCACAGTTCTTCAAGTCCTTCCCCTAGTTCCCCCCCCCCAAATTTGATGCCTTGTTCCTTTTGTCCTGTTTTGTGCCACCACTCAGGAATGAGTCCAGCTTACGGGCACCCAGTGAGTATCTGTCTCCACTTTCCTGATCGCCTGCTTGAGCTCGTTGAAGGCAATCGTGAGGTCATCGTTCACGATGACCTTTTCAAAGAGGTGACCGTACTGGTTTTCCATCATCTGAGCAGCACTGATCATCTCCTGGAAGTCCTCCTCCTAAACAACAAACACATTCAGTCAAAGTTCTTTTTAAACATGAAATATGCCCCCCCAAAAAAGTCCAAAACACTTTCACACAGTATTCTGAAAACCAGCTTCCAAAAAAGACTTTCATAGATGCCCTCAACATCGACTTAATTAAAAACTATTCTTTTTTGTTTACAATAAAACTGCTTTAGATGCAGAAATGCAAAAATATCTACATGTGATAAAAGATAAAACTATAAACTGATATTTAATGTTCTACAGAGGTGGTGCACAGTTAAGAGTTATAGTTTGAGGTCTGGATCTCCAGTGGTTTTGATCACAGGAACAGTGGAGTGAATAAACGGACCACAATTTTATACCCTGGCATGGGCGCTTAAACGCCCAACAAAACGATCAACAGTCATTATTCATTAAATATTTTTACCATTCAAAACAAACTGACATCACTGAAAAACTGTAAAAATACAACAGGCTAAAATCAGACATACTTTATAACAAACGCATCAACCTCCTACCACTAAGTACTCTTTTCATGACATTGCAGTCTTGGTACAGGCTAGTTATGGATTTTCTAACATGGCCTTTGACCTTTCTGGGCTTGTGGGTCCTAAATAAGTGTTTATGTGGGCAATCTTGGTATTTGGTTCCAGTCTCAGAGAACATGTCAGGGTTTGAGTGGCTTTACCAATATAGACTCAACTTTTACAACACATAAACATGGGACCCATACTGAGAGCGATATGATGCTATAAAACATATTGCCACTCTAAATCAGAAGCTTTTGGCCAGATTTAAAAAGTTTTAAATTGTGCCGAGAAGCTATTAAGTACATAGAAAGTATGGAAATGTTGAAATTTGGCATTAGCAGACAAGACAGTGGCAAGCTTAGCGAAGCCATGGTGCATGGCCATTGTTAGACGGCAACTTCCCCTCCCACTCTCTGTTGAAGCCTTCCCATCTCTCCCTGTCCTTCTTTCTTGATCAAGAGTTGAGATTTAGTCAACATTTCAGTTTCATTTGGGTCACAGAGCTGCTAGCATTCTGAAAATTATAGCAATCTCTCAATCTGACAGTTATTGGCAGAATGCATCAAAAGTCACAGTTCATTGACCAAGACATGGCTTTAATAAAGCTCTGGTTCAACGTGGTGGATTAGCTTGTGTTTGGCCTAAATAGTCAAAGGTTTGGCCCAAGGTCTGAACATATTTTTTCTTCATTCTGTCATCAAATAAAAACCTCATGCTAATTGAAGCATAACAGATGTTGTGCCTCCAGGGGAGTGCTATTACCAAATCTGATCAGTTTCAAGGGTTTAAATCTGTTTTTCCTCTGCATTTCTTTCCGATTGTTTATTTCCCAAAGGCTCTAATGCGCTTTCTCACTCAACGTCCGGGTCTTCCCTCCTCAAAAATAGAAGAATTTCTTGAGTACTCTGCTCCCTCCACAGTCATTCTGCTTATCTCTCAATCCTTGCCACAAAATAAATTTTTATTGGATCATATAAAGTGCACCTGCCCTTATCATTAAACCAGTTCAAAAAGGAAATTTCTGGGTCTTCAAGAGGTCACTGTTTTTATATTCCCAAAGTAAAGGCACTTCATCTGTGGACTGGGCTGACTTTCACCGAGCAAAGGACAAAAAAAGAAAAATAAAAAAAACAACAAAAAAAATACATCCTCCAATTTTAGCTTATGTTTCCACTCCTCATTATGACGATTTAATGCCAGACGATGAAACCCTCTACTCTTCCACCTCTAATGACATTTTTATGAAACTCCTAGGTTTTTTTTTTTTGCTACTCCTAAAAAGAGAATGAGTGATATTTTGATCTTTTACACATTAATGTTATACAAGCAATACTAAAAGGGAGAACAATAGAGTGGAAGACTGGATTCACAGAAACAAAGGGATGCCTGTTTTCTTGCACAGAGCCGACAGCACTCAAATTCATGGCTCTAACAGATGCAGCGTCTCTCTGGGAAAGAAATACTAAGTCCTGGATAAAATATGTCTGTGACATTTCATCAAACACAATTTTTCTTACGTACCTATAATAGGCTGAATCTGGGTGCCTTTAACACTGTCAGGGTCTATAATGTATTTTTGCTAAGTTTTGCCAGCTAAGAAGCTTTTTCCCCCCTTACTAATACCCACAGTGACCTGTTGAAAGCAGGCAGACGTTGTTGTGGATTGTGTGGACAGCCTTTGGTACAGTTGCTCTTACAACAGAGATAGCCAGGGCAACATTCCCACTGACGATGACATAATTCTTGAGCTTTCTGGGAATTTAAAACTTTGAGGAGTATGGCGTGGTCTAAAAATCACACATTCAGTGGTTTGAATTAAGGTGACCAGCATCTATTCAGTTTCAAAGTTGTTGAAATAAGAATAATGAAATATACTTCTAATATAAACTTGTGAGCATGTGTATTAGGGCTGCACAATGTCAAAATAAAATGGATATGGGGATATGGCTTAACACGATGGCAAATCACGAAGGCTGCGATTTAATTTAATAAATGTGTGCTGCCGACATCAAGAGTGAAGCTCGGCACGGTTCATTAACAAGCAAGTAGCTCATAATACAGAGATTCAGTGTCTCAAAGTTGAGCTGCATGTGTGTAAATTAACAGTGTGCTTACTTCACCTTTGAAACTGGCAGTGCATATATTTCTTGTTGGCAAAGCGCGAAAATAAATGCTCGATAGTTTAATGTTTGAAAATGAGGAAATTAAGACAAACTTTAATAAAAATGCAATTTTATTATTATTATCACTACCGTTATATTAAATGCTCTTTATTTTACAGTACAACAGTACTCTTGTAACATATTTCTTATACTTGAAAGTCATATGTAGTCATATTGAAAATAATCATATTCCACCCTCAAAAACAGTGGGAACAAGGCCTCTGAAAGCTCAAGTGGAAAGAAATCTTTTTTAAAAACTGGTTACTGAAAGAGGTTTCAGTTGATTTCTGTAAAGAGTTCCAAAGTGCAAACATCTAAATATTTCACATTTTCCCAAATTGTTTAACCCTAAAACAATGATTTGCACTCAAATAAAAATCTATATTTTTTATAATTTTTGTTTGTATGTTTTTTTTTGTATGCATATGCACTCCCCAACAAAATCACCACCATCAAAATTCTTCCCAAATATAGCTATTCAAGTCGTCTGGTGAAAACTCCTGTAATTCTTTATATCAATATATATCAATTCTTTATATCAATACATACAGCAGAAGAAACAAAACAAAACCATAATGTTTGTGTGTCGCACTGCAGCCTAGATGAACTCAGACAGACAATATTGTGGGTGCACGTGTGTCTGAAGTCATTTATGTTTTAGCAGCTGCTTCTATGAAATCATAATGGATAAACAGACCAAACCTGCAGTGTGAAAATGATTAGCATCCAGTATAGGAATTCATGTGCAAAATTGCCATGAGCTACTATTGCCGATCTGTGTTGTGCAAAAGACGAAAAAAAGTACATATAGGTTGACAGGTGAGCACATGTTTTGAACTCCTAACTGCATTTGACACAGAATGTCTCTGCAGTAACAATCGGCATCACGCCATCTCAGCGTGTGGTGGAGTCGGGTTCCTGGGGTCACTTATGCAGTAGCAAGCACACTTGTCCCCAGTGCAGACTCACAGCGAGATACACAGGCAAGAGCTGAACTCTGGGAAAGTCATTAGATTCCCCGCATATTCACACCACATCGCACACTCACATAGTGCAAACTAACGGCAGGACTGGGTAAGGGTCTGGTGTACGTGCTAATTGATTGCATGTGTTTTCTTTGAGTGCAGTCATACAGGTGTAGTGTGAGCTCCCAGGTCTCATATCAGGTTGCCGCACACACACACACACACACACACACACACACACACACATTACTATTATAAATGATGTGAATGTTGCCAGGAAGTGATTAAATCTATTTCTTATTTCACCAAGAACTATGTGAGATAGTGGAATGAAAATTCAGTGAACATGACCTAAAACCCACAACGACCTATTGAGAGAGAAAAGAGATCACATCAAGGATGAGAGAGAATGATAGATGGACAGATTGAAGTCAAAGCTGTGTGTGGTGTCTATTACCGAGAAGGGTTTGGATGAGTTCTTATCGTCTTTGCCTGAGATGACTTTTGCGTTCTTCCTGGTCTCACTCAAATGCTCGATGGATGGAGGCTTCACAAACACAACATAGGGCTTAAACTCGGCTGTGCGAAGATGCTTTAGCGTCTGATGGAGAAAGAATGTGAAAAAAGAGAGCAGGGTGAACCACAGTCATTAAAGCAGCATCACTCATGTCATCATGATTTAGTCTGACACTGATACTTCTGTACATTATTACGGTTAGTCACAGTTACATTTTGACAGAAAACAGAGCAGCTGATGCACACTGAGCTCAACTGATCTGACTCCATGAGTAAAAATAAAGCACTTTGGTCAGACACATTACACTTCAGGTAGTCGAGATCCTGAAGAAATCTTCAAAACAATCAGACCACTGAACTTTAGGAGATTTTTCAACTGACTGAATTAATGATTGGCTTTAAAGCATATTGTAAAGTTTTGTAGCATTTTTCCACAATAGCTATGATCTAGTTTGGAAAATCACCAACATTTCCACCCTTTTTCTAGCCCTATAATTAAAAAGTTTTTTGCCACTGTACATTTAAAGGGATCACTCTTTCAAAATGTAAACATGTCAATGTCATTTACTGTTCCGAACAAAAGCAAACAAAGGCAAAAAGTGGCCATGGGCTGTTGAGCTCCAAAATGTCAAAAAAGCAACATAAAATGTTCACAAAAGTAGTCCACAATGTTTTGAAGTAATATGATACATATATAAAGATTATTGCCAAATCAGCTTTACGCTTCAATTTGATGAAAACATTTCTTAATTTTGCATATACATAACTCTATATTCTTAAAATTTTAATTTTTTTCTGGTTCCATCTTGCAAAACAAGTCTGAACTGAGATTGGAGAGCTATGCTGGAGATTATTAGTAAATTCAGTCTCCTCATCATACAAAGCTATCATAAGGCTTCATAAGAATAAGAATATAATGTACTTAATAAGAACAATGTATAAATTGTATAGGCCAAATTTAATACTTAAAATGTAACTTTTTTTGAGTTTGAGTTTGATAGCCATGGTCATTTTTGTATTCCGTGGGCTAAAATAACAACATAAGGATTTGGAACAACATCTTTGAAATGAGTAAATAATTTTGATTTTAAATTTCATTTAATTTTCACAAATGTCTTTCTTCACTGAAGGTGTATGCGCCATTGAGATAAATGGGAATGCTAACAGATACAGCTCTCTCCAGGTATTGCAGACTTGCCACTAGGGCTGTGTATCAGCAGCAAAGTCACGATATGATACATATCCCGATAAAGAGGCCACGGTACATACGATACATATCATGATACGGGTCTGCATTAAATTGCACCTCAGCAGAATTTAGTATAACAGCTGTTTATTAAACACTGCATATTATAGGGCCATTTCTAAATATACAGTAGGCAGAGCAGGAAGTTGACCTCAGAATTATGAAGGGCCTCCATAACTGTACCACAATATAGCCTAGGTTTCAGGTTTCCATTGGGCACTCCCCACCAGGTACATTCTGATTGTTTGCATCTTGTTTGTAAGCCCATAAATAATAATGTACTCGTTCTAATAAATTTATACTGGTCATGTACTCATTCTAACATTCAGCTAAATATCTCTCTTGTAATGGTATGTTAACTACATCATGTTATCAATAAGCTAAATAAAATGAATTTTCACCTCAGTATGTTTGTTCTGTGAGTTTCTTTATGTGTGCCGTTACGCTCATTTGATTTGATTTCTCCATGAAAGTCTTTCACACAGACAGGCAGCACGAGCCTCAACAGCGAGTCATTGATAACAGAAATACACTATCCATGATAAATCGCTGTTTAAGCTCAATGTTATAAATCAGAAGAATCATTCTCGCGTTTTGATGCATCACTAGTTATGTTTTGCCACTTAAGTTTTAACCAGGCTATAATGTATAATGTGTTTTCATAATACAGATAACCATGCCATTGGCTCATTCTCTCCCTCACTACCCCTAGAGAGAAGCCAGGCTTAGACCATCAAAGTAAGATGTCTGAGGCAGAGGCAACGGAGGTCTTTCGCTGGCTTCACTGGGGACACTGATAGAGTTCTGCGAAAACTCAACCAACTAAATCATTTTTCCCTGCACTACTCTCTCACACTGACACGAAGCCTAAGGAAATCTTCAAACGTGGGACAATTAATAGAGATAACATTAAATCTCCTGCCTGACCTGAAGACCAAAAGGAAAAGTGCAAACTTACAAACACTCACACACCACACTGATCTCAGAAAAGATCCAGGAGGAATGTCACACCTGTGAAAGGGGGGAAAATAAATCTGGAAAAGAGACTGAAGAATGGAGTGACGCAGAGGGAGGTAAAATGGAGAGGTAGAATGTGTATATGAGGAATGGAGTTACTCACATGTGGCTGTACGTCTAGAAGGCACACCTTGTTCTTAGACAGGACTGAACGTACAGAGTTGAAGCTTGTCCCATAGTAGTTTCCCTTATACTCTCCATGTTCAATGAATCTGAGGCATAGGAAAAGACAGAAAGAACAGGAGAGGTTTGATGTAATGATTGATGGCTCTAAATGCAAAAGCAATGCCCATGAGTCTACGTGACCCCACACTAGAATACAAAGAGAAGCCAATGGACAGGATAATGACAGGAAACTCATAACCCATTATTTACTTTCAGCCTGTCCTGATGCTTTCAGTGTAAAAGGCTGCTTAGACATGTACGGTGTGTTCACCATCACTTGCATTCTTCACCACATGGCAATTCCAGACAGTCTGACACAAGGTTCTTTTATATAATCTTCTATGTTACAGTTTAAATCAGTAACACCTGTTTCCTCGCAGCACAGGCAGGCTTGAATGCCAAAAGCAAGAGTAAGTGGACTTCCCGAGAAGACAAAGACAAACAAACACTTTCCCACTATTTAATCTGCCTCTCTTTCAATCCGATCATTTGATTTTTTTCAAATGCAAGAAATTTTTTCTTTAGCAAGAAATGTGGAAGGATATGGAAAGTATTCCAGAAGAACGAAAGAGTCTTACGACAGCACGGTGTCGTAATATTCCATGAATATTTGGTTATGCAACACAGACCACTAAAATCACCACTACTGAAACTGGTGAAATGTTCTTTATACTGTATGTACAGACTTCTTTATTTTTCCCTAAGTATCAGTCCAAATGTCAACAAGTCTTTGAAGTGAAAACTATAAATGCGCTCACACTTTTGGGCCCACAATGTCTAACAGCAACCTGTGATTGGCCGATCATTTTTAGAAGCTAACGTGACTCCCTGCCACTCTTCTCCTGTTAGACATGTTTTAAAAGTCTGTACACTCTTTCATTGAAGGCAATTTGATGGTGAGCTAAGTTGATTTAGTTGGGTGCTAAGAGGTGGTTTGCTGGTGTTAATGTGACATGTAGGGTTACCCGGAATTCCCAAAGTGACTAAACTTTAATTTGAAGGCAGATGTGCCCAAACAGAACTTATGTGTCGTGGCGTTTGTTGTCATGATGCGGTGCATGTTTTGGATGGCGGGGTGGAGGCTGCTTCTGTGGTTTTTGGGTTCATTTAAACACTGTTTTTAGCCCCGAGTAGGGTTGTCCTTGGGAACAAGAATGTCATGTTTGCACATGAGAATGGCCGTTTTCTCACTGGAAGGCAGAATAATGAACAATGGGTCAAATATATCTGTCTGGTTTACAATGTTCCTAGAAATGTATTCATATTGGTTTCATATGGATTTCAAAAGCATTTTCAGAAAATTGAAAGAGCCCAAAATGTCATGTGGTGTAATCAATTAAAATATAATAATGTATTTTCATATGTTGGTTCCACATGGTTTTTCCCTAACATTTTCATTCATTGGTTTCATATAGTTTTCAAAATCGTTCATACCATTTTCAAGAAAATTTCAAATTTAATGACTTTAAAAATGTCTTATGGTGTAACCAATCGAAATATAATTTCCTTGAATTTCGAACACGTGAGTGTACAAATCTTAAGTCATTATGAAAAAATACAAATATATTTCTAATGTAAACAGTTTTGTTTTGTTTAAGTATTTTAACATTTTACAAAAACATTTTTTCCTAAGTAATGATCACATATTATGCCAACTATGTAATAAGGACTTATTTTTAATGAAATTATTCATATAATTATTAGAATAAAATATTAATAAATTAATTAATAAAAAAATTAATGATTTTTTACTGAAAATTACAAAAAATTTGATAATATACGTTTTTGTATCTGTGAGCTACACGTTTAATGTATTTTTAAATAAATGAATAGGTCCAGACAGATTTTAAAAAATGGAAGAAAAAATGCTGACAGAAGGGGAAAAAATTTGTCTTTCCAGCCCTGTTGCTGTCCCTTGTGGCCACCTGCTCGATCTTGATAATTGTGGTTTACTCATTTTGATGTTCATTTCACCACAGAACAAGCCACTGCTTGTTTTTTCTACCACATGGCAGTTAAAATGCCTGGTTTGCTGGCGAGGTGACATTCTATATGCGTTCCTGTTGTGTTGTTTTATCCTCTGATGAGGGGCTGCAGAAAAACATCCATCACCAGGCCATCCATACAAATCTGAGCTTACGAACCACTGGGTAAAAGGAGTCTGATCCCCCCTCTCTCGAGCACACACACAGAAACAGACCACCTGTCAACACCCTTTCACTCTCGCTTACAGAGAAGGGATCTGAGCCCACATCATGCTGCTACACAAGTAGCACACACTCGCACACACAATTTGCTTGAAGGAAATGGAGTGGAAAAATGAAAGAATAGTGGGCAGCCGAAAGGCAGAGCTGGTGAATGTTTGCCATAGCATCTGAGACAGACGACATCAGTGAAAATTGTTGTGCAGTGTTTTGACTGGGGTGCTGATTTACTTAAGTTCAGTCAGGGCTCCGGACGATGTGTTGAATACTAACTGGCCATGGAGGCTCAGTCTCTCAGATTTATATTTCTTCCACTGTGGAGTGTTTGTGTCAGGGTTTCGGTTTACATAATTACAATCCTGAGAATAAAGGAAGCGGTCCACTAAACTTCAATGATTAATACTGACTATTTGATCTCCACGGTAAACGTTCATAACCCCAATCCAAATCACAGCAGTAATGTTCATATGCTCGTTCCAAATAATACACACTAGTGTGTTTCAATCTAAGCGAGACTAAGAAAGATTGTGTCGGAGGGTAACTTACTTGCTGTTCTGAATATCTGCCTCAAAAAGATGTTTGGAGATAAAATGATACTCCACTCCATCACTTTCCTGATGTCTCTTTGATCGAGAGGTATCTGTGAAAGATAAGGCAAAGTGAAGAGAAAAGCCATTTTAAATGTTGGAAATCTTACATGTGAGCAGAGGTTTTTCTCAGATGGTTTTGTGTAGTTTCACACTTAATGATCGAATAGAATATGATGCATGACTTCAAATCTGAACAGATTTTAAAACAGTTGACCATGCATTTGTCGACTTTGTAAATGGTTACACAGAAAAACTGCACTATATGTCTTATACACTAAAGTTGTAGTGTATTCCAGCTTTAACAAAACACAAGCCACAACTGTAGCACATCCACATTACCGGAGAAATAAAGCTCTAGTACAGCTTCAGAAAACTCTAATTTTAACATAAACATAATGACATTACAACTGGATATCTTAACAAATCAATTGCAAACCGAACAGTAAAACAGAATTAAAAGAACTGGCTCGAAAGAGTCAGTTGTATTGGGAATTGGGCTACACTGAACTGAACTACACTGGTCACACTATACAGTATCTTCTACATGCAGCTCACAAGAACAATGAGGACAGTACAGGTACAGTACAGGAGGCGATTTACAAATACAGTACATTTTCACACAGCCAGTAAAAAAAAGGGATTCAAGTAAAAGCTCAATCGTAGGATTTTAACAATCAATACTGGGATTATTCAAAGAACATGATTATGAAGATTACAATCAATCGGAAAAACAATATTTTTACCCAGCCCTAAGTGGCATTAGATACTGTGTCCCTAACTGAAAGAAAACAGTGGACTCCCAACAGGGTTTCTTAGAGCACAGTGGTGGAATAAGTTAATGTTTGAAGATGATTCAAGAAGAACATGTGAAGAAATGTTCATTACAGACATTTCCTTGATTAAAGGGAGTTTCCCATGGGCACTTTATTTCCCACTTAATTTTATTTAAAGTAAACCACCTCTCCAAGGTCTTGGCTCACCTCACCAGGAGGCTTCTAAAGGGCAGTGCGAGTGTAACGCAGCTTGTAAAGCCCCAGGAGCACACTGTACAGTACCAGCACTGAGTTTACTCTGTCCCTCATTAGCCCCGCTCCTGCTTTCAGCTGCTTATAAACTCCTGTCTTTAAATCAGATGGCGCGTGCCAGTCCAGCCAGCACGGCTCCGCCGGGCACAGCCAGGGTCAGAGTTTGCCGTGCAGAGAGACACAGCGGTGTGTTTAACGAGTGCAGGGGAGGTCAAAGGTCACTGTAGAACACACCTCCGACAAATCGTCTGCAAGCCGCCAGCAGCTCCAAAACAAACTATTAAACTTTATCACCATTCCAACTCGCCTTGTTCCAGGTTTTTTCTTCCCTGATTTTTTCCTTCTGCTTTTTCAAGGCCCCTATTGAATGGTCTCTATTGCTCGATCTATTTATCATGTATGACATGTATTGGTAATTTTCCTTTATTTTTTAAATATATAAACACATTATAGTTCAGAAGTTTTGTAATTATTTTTTTTTTAAAAGAAACTAATACTTTCATTCAGCAAGAATAAATTAAATAGATCAAAAATGATGGTAAAGGGTACCGACATTTATAATATTAAAAAATAAATAAATAAATGCTGTTCTTTGAACTTTCTATTCAAAGAATCCTGAAAAAAGGGTATCATGGTTTGCCACAAAAATATTAATCAGAACAATCATTCTCAACTGTAATAATAATAAACCATGTTTCTTGAGCACCAAATCAGCATATTAGAATAATTTTTGAATGACCATGACACTTGCAATATTATTTTTCCAATATTACTGTATGCTGTATTTTTGATCAAATAAATGCAGCTTTGGTAAGCATCAGAGCAAAAAAAAAAAAAAAACAACAGACAAAAAAACCTTACAGTCCTCAAACTTTTCAACAGTAGTGTACGATTGGTCGTAAAAAGAATGGACCGGCGACTGTCTAATTTCCTCATTTAGTTTGTAAGTGGACACCTATTCCTATAGATAAAGACAGAGAGAGAGACGAGGGAGAAAGTATGGTTTGGGTGGGATGGGAGTAAATTATTAGTTGCCCTCAACCCATCATATATTTGATGAAGAGGCATCCCCCTCTCATGATGACATCCCACCACAGACATAAGATAACATGTTATTATACCTCCAACTGCTGGTGCTCACAAAACAAAGAAAAAAGGCTATTCCCTTGCACTGCTGAGAGAAATAGAATATATTTCATCTGGCATTAGCTCTGTGGCATAAGAAATGTTTTTGGTGTGGCAAAAGAATTTGAATTTCATTCTAAGATCATGGAAAATAGCAGTAAAGGCTGGAGAGGAGACAAAAATGTTCAAGTGCTCCCAACTAATCGTATTCTACAATCGCACTAGTGTTGCTGCCACAACTGGTTTGCATTTTAAAAGATCCAATTGTTGGAAATGTGAAGCAATTGTTCACGTTGGTCTTCTTTAGAGAATTTAAACAAAAAATATTTAATGTTTAATCACTCCATATTAAAAAGGAGAGTTAGAGCTGGCAGGATTGAAATAAAAGGGGAAAGATGACCAAAAAGCACTTTCAAAACAGTCACTTTCCAAGAATCCATTTCTTTAATCTAGATCCTCCGTAAGGTCTGAGGGAAGCCGGGCTACATAATACAGACTAATGCAGGGGTCACATTTGTGAGCAATTAGGCAGCATTAAGGCAAAAATCTTTGGATGGGATTTTAATACCAGTGGCATTTTAAAGTGTAAGAGCCTGAATCAGACACATCTATTAAAGCCAAACTCGAATGTAACAAACATCCCACTGTTATATCAACAGTCATGGGATTTCTGGCCACTGTCTCCAACTCCTTCAAAATTTCAAGCTCTGTCTCTCACTTTCCTGCCTCTAAATATGCATTTTCTCCACAGCATCAGCCTGCTTAAATACATAAATCGCAGGCATATTTATGTGTCCCAAAAATATCTGCTCTGGTGTATTTCCCTGGATCATGTGTTTCTGGATGCTGGAGGGCTGTGAAGGCTATGTCATGGGTGCTGCTGCTGGGGACAGAGGAATGTATCAAGTAGAGCTGTGAAAGTCTGAAGAGGTGAGAGAGTCATTGTCACAAAGTTAATCTACTTTTTTGTACGGTGACCAAAAAAAAAAAAAAATCAGTCTCATACTTTGTCACACACACACACACACACACACACACACACA